TTATTTTATTTTTATTTTTTTTTAATACATTGATTTAATGGGCTTTATGTAATTGGCAAAACACTAGAGTTACAGGTAGATTTAATGAATATCTGATCAAATACTTAGTTGACAAATATGTAGAAAAAAGTTGACAAAAAAGAAAAAAGTGTCTTGACCCTTTCTCTCCATGTTTTTTTTTTTCTCAGTTGGTCATAATCAACATTTAGTCCACGACAATTAACAGCAATAATTAGCTGACAAATATGTAGAAAACAGTTAACAAAAAAAGAAAACGGAACAAAATGCATGATTAAAATCTATATATAAAAAAATAATAATTCTTGACCCTTTCTCTCCATGTTTTTTTTCTCAGTTGGTCATAATCAACATTTAGTCCACGACAACAACTTTGCGTGTATTTAACATTATGATTAACACTGAATAACTTTACAATAAACTTTTTAGTTTCTAAAAATATATAGTTGCTTTGATTAAAATAGAAGCACAATCTAGTCTATTAGAGTTTAAGTCCTACATTAGAAGTCTACTGAAATTTCACTCACGTCATCTCGTCTTCTCCTCAGCCGTCACCCACGAAACAAATTCCTCATGCATATTTCAGGATAGCTGTAAGCGGCTAATAACGCTAATGCTACTTGTTCAGTGTTCGGCTGTGGTTTTGATTACACATAGGTGTGAGGTACGAGAAGCAGTGTGTGCATGCGTGTATGTGCTTGTGTGCAAGTAAACTGTGCTCTCTAAAAGAACTGTAGTTTTAGGAGCAGAATGTGGACTGCAGCTCTTTAAATGCAGCACGCCGTTGTTTTCTTTCAAGTTCCATCCTCTTCTTCTCTTCTTGTTCCTCTCGTATCTCTGCCTCAAACTTACTGCGCACCGACAGAGCCTGAACCTACCAAACACACACAAAATACAAATAAAATGCATTTCTGTTGAATGTGTCATATGCCTACAACATAAAAATAAAAATAAATGTACTACTATTGCTGTATTCCTGCTAAAACAATTGATAAATTCTAAATTTTCTTGTTAGGTGTGTTTACTAAACTAGAAGCTGAAAACCATATAACAAAACTAAAAGTACTAAAAACAGTTTTTGTTAACTGAAATAAAGCTCAAATAAAATAAAATATTAGATTAAAACTTTAAAAAAGCTTAAAATTTGAAATGTTGCCTTGGCAATTAATTAAAATAAATCAGTACTAAAATTACTGCAACCAAAACTGAAATAAAAATCAATGCAATTTTTTATATTAAAATGCGTTAAAATAACTAAAAACATATATAAATATAAAAATACAAAAATAATGGAAAATATTAATAAATATTATAATTGTGTTTAAAATTAACACTTGCCATACAGGGTCTATAATACGATATAGCAACATTTCCCAAATGAGATTATGATCATGAGAAATGCAAAATGCTGAAAAAAAATTAAATAAAAATAGAATATAATATAACTATTTAAATGATTATTTAAAAAAAAAATTTTTACATAATAATATTTAATTATAATAATAAAAAATGTAAAAGGGTTCACTGAAATGTAACTAAAGTAATAACCCTATAACTTAACCTAAACATTCAAATATTGTTGCAAAAAATTTGACACGTTATTTAATACAAAAAATAATATTTTGAATGTTTAACATTACTAAAAGTATCAGAATGTACTTTAAATAAATAATTTAGGTCATAGAGGTTCAGCTAAAATAATATGTGTTTTATAGCGTAACAACTGTCCTCTGTAACATTATTGATGTGTTCTTTGCAGATGTCAGCCTTTCATGTACTTACTCTATATGAGCACAAGAGGGAACCTAAGAACCTGGGCGTAGTGCTTGCCCATGCATCAAAACACACTAACATAAAAACCCACAAACCTTTGCCTCAAAGAAGTCCCTGGCTCCAAGAACGCCTTTGGTCGAGACGTCAATCTCTGAAAGTCGCGCCAGAGCCATCAGTCCGCTCTCTTCCTGCAGCTCACCTGCCGCGGCCCTCCGGAAGATCAGCAGGAACTGACACAGAGATGGAGAGATTAGGATTATAGGGAAATTTCAATGGCTTGAAAGGTTATCAGCATTTCTATGCTATTCTAAAAATAAACACAAAAGAATCAGATATCAGCTGCCATGTCAGCATGTAAACCAACATTTCAGCTTTGTTTCACATTTTTCACACACACACACACACACACACACATTATTTATTTTATTTATTATTTACATTTTATATATATATATATATATAGTTTAGGTTTTTGTTAGTATGCCATGTTGTAGGGTGTTCTGAACGGATGCTTGGTACTCCTTATAATATTTTGAACCTACACATGTGTGTGGTTCCTTTGTCATGTAATTCTATAGGATAGCTTTGTCCCATTTTATCATTCGCCAGGTGAAAATCATCTAGGCTGACTTAATGTGATTGATATTTAAATGTGAAGCCACATCAGAGCTGTAATCAGAGATGTTATCTCACAAACGTGCTGTGATCGGATCATCTGAGTAGGTGAGTCTGAAGTGTTTCCATGGAGTGTAATCTCTCAAAAGATTGAATCACTAGATTAAATCAGTCATCAGGGACGATGACAGACTTAACAGAGCTGTAACTATACACACACCTCTCTGTAGCTGAGTTTGCCGTCATAATCTTCATCCACCTCCTTGATCATGTTCTTCAAGCCCAGATGAGTCTGTGGAGCTCCAAGTTTCTCCATCATCAGCTTCAGTTCCATCAGATCAATGAAGCCGTCTTTACCAGAGTCAAATCTACACACAAATACATATAAAAAGAGCTTTAAAGGAAAAGTTGACCTAAAATTAAAGTTCTGTTATTGTTACCACTCTCTTTGCACTCTTTTTCCATTATGATGGCAATTGATTTCATCATAATCAGTAAATAAAAATGAGTATTATCAGTAAAACAATTTAAATTTAAATATTTTCCTCATTTACAATATTTTATTATATGGCTTCATAAGAACTGAAATATAGTGCACAAATCAGACTGACTGTTTTTAAGGCGGTGATTTTAGTTGTTTTTGAAGCATTTTAGGAAAAATTTTCTGCATTACAAGTTTGGAACAACATCACCAATAAACTGATTTATGCTACAGTTCAAAAGTTTGGGATCATAAAGATTTGTATTTTTATTAATTATTTTCTTTTTCCAGCAAAGATGCATTAAGTTGATCAAAAGTGACTAATAAGAAGAAGAAATGTTTCTTGAGCAGTAAATCAGCCTATTAGAATGATTTCTGAAGGATCATGTGACACTGAAGACTGGAGTAATGATGCTGAAAATTCAGCTTTGTATCACAGGAATAAATTACATTTTACAATATATTCACATAGAAAACAGTTCTTTTAAATTGTAATACTTTTTCACAATATTACTGTTTTTACTGTATTTTTTTTTGATTAAATAAATGCAGCCTTGGTCAACATAAGAGACTTTTGCTCATTACAAAATCTGACTGACCCCTAACTTTTTAACACCAGTGTATATGCTGTTTCGGACCATCTTATCAATGCAAATTGAATTCTAGCATATGTATTACATCAAACTATATACTAGCGACACTCAGGAGTGAGTGTTGACATGAAGGTTTATCCAGCCGCAGCAGAGGGAGGCCAGTAGAACAGCAGGTGGAGAGTGACTGCAGAAACAGCAGGAAAAAGAGATTCTAACAGAGGAGAGTATTTATAGAGTCTCACCCAGCTGTTGCCACACCAACCAGCAGGATTGTGCGTGTGTGTGCGAAAGAGAGAGAGAGAGAGAAGTGTTTGTCTTGAACATTGTGTGAAAGTGAAGAGGCTGAGATTGCAGGAGTGGGCACGTGTTTCTATTTTGGCTTGAGTTATGCTTTTAGAAACATGGCAGAAAAGTACAGGTGAACATCACCTCATCTCTACTTCTCTCCCTCTCCACATAGGAAAGAAAAGCATGAATGAGATCACATTTATATTCTCCCAGACAGCAAAATGGAGAAAGTCTCATGCTTCTCAGATTTTCCTGCCGAAAAAAGTCACAATAATCTTACATAGTTGTTAGAAGTGATCTCATTATGAACTTTAGCTTTGCTTGACTTGCTCACCAATGGATTCTCTGCAGTGAATGGGTGCCGTCAGAATGAGATCCAAACAGCTGATAAAAACATCACAAGAATCCACACGCAATTCACACCACTCCAGTCCATCAATTAACATTTTGTGAATTGAAAATTGCTTCTGGCTAAAATATGAGTTCTCTATCCATAATATTGCTTTCTCCAGTGAAAAAGTTGTGTTGTCTGAATCAGGAGAGAAATATGCACAGATTAAGCTCTAAACAAATTGAGTTCTAAACAAATATGTTGGTGGATTTTGATGCGAGAGACAACAGCGGATGGACTTTTGAATTGGAGGAAACATTATTATGGATTATGGATTCATATTTTGCCCAGGAACAACAGTTTAAAGTTAAAACTTCTTCATGATGAATTTGTTTCTTACAAACACACAGCTTTTCACCACTCAAGACATTAACTGATGGACTGGAGTGGTGTGGATTATTGTGATGTTTTTATCAGCTGTTTGGACTCTCATTCTGATGACACCCATTCACTGCAACTAAATCTATATTTCAGCAGATGTGCATATTTCTCCTAAGATATTTCAAAGAGAAACATCTGAGACAATGTGAATGTTTATCAGGGTGTTTCATATCTTTGCTCTGAATGGCCGTCTAATCTCATCTCCTCAGCTCATTGTTTCTGAAAGGTCATAAATAGCTCAACTTTCACTGTTAAAGTGCTGCATAAAAGCCAATTTATTAACAATTTCACCCAACATCCTCACTTTCTTTCTTTGTCCCGATGTTGTTTTAACAACCCCCATTGCCTGCCCTGATTAAAAGACAACTGGGAATCTGCTGACCAGAACAGCAACTGCTTTCAGCAACTGGCAGCACACTCCTACACACACAGCCCTGAAATGTGTGTGGATGCATGAAAACACAAACTGCCCTGACGTAATTGCGGGTGCATTGCATGTGTTTGTGTGTGGATGCTCTCTTTGTCCTCTTTGGTTTCCTGCTGTGGTATTTATAGATGCCAAGATTCAGCTATAGAGCCTGGCATTCAGAGCAATGCAGTCTAGTAACAGCACTCAGGCTGATCCCAGGTCTGCTTACAACTGCAGATGTGCTTAGAACTGCATTATGAACTACTTGAAGCAGCATGAAACAGGTCAGGGTTAACAAGACTGACCTGGTATGTGAGAGAAAGCGAGAGAGAGAGAGAGAGAGAGAAAGAGAAATAGAGAATAACAAACAGAAAGATGAAGATGAAGTTGGCATATTGGTCCTGCCCTCTGCATGCCGGACACATTCCAGGTCAACAGCCCCTCCTTGTGCTGAAGTGGCATGAATGGAAAAGATAAAGAAATATACACACTTACACATAGAAATAATACATAATATACATTACTGTTTGGGGTATGTAAGAATCTCTTCCGCTCGCCAAGGCTGCATTTATTTGATCAAAAATAACAGTAATATTGTGAAATATTATTACAATTTAAAATAAACTTTTTCTATTTGAATATATTTGAAAACGCAATTTATTTGTGTATATGTACTGTGTTAGACTAACCAGGACTTGTCACAACACTTATACATTGTTGCTCTTTTGTTGTTTTGATTGCTTCTACTGCCCTCATTTGTAAGTCGCTTTGGATAAAAGCGTCTGCTAAATGATTAAATGTAATGTAAATGTATTCCAAAGCTGAATTTTCAGCATCATTACTCCAGTCTTCAGTGTCACATGATCCTTCAGAAAGCATTCTAATATACTGATTTGATGCTCAAGAAACATTTTATTTTATTATTATTATCAATGTTGAAAACAGTGCTTCTTCATATTTTTGTAGAGCCCATGATAAATATTTTTTTAGGATTTTTGTTTTTGATGAATAGAATGGTAAAAAGAACAGCATTTATTTGACATAGAAATCTTTTATAACATTGTAAATGTCTTTACTGTCACTGTTGTTCAATTTAATGTGTCCTTGCTCAATAAAAGTATTAATTTCTTTTTAAAAAAAAACTTATTGATTGCAAAATTTTTAATGCCATTATATACAGTATATATATATTTATATATATATATATATATATATATATAACTGTGATATATCTAAGTTAGTATCTAACTGTGGAATCTCACAAAAATATATGAATCTGATTATGTGAATATATAATTCGTAAATGAATTTCTATCTATCTATCTATCTATCTATCTATCTATCTATCTATCTAGGGCAGTGTGCTATTTAGGTGTGAGTTGTGTTTATGAATGTGTTAACTCTGCTTTTGACCCATTTTCCTCTTATACATGACATCTTTTTTCATCTCTGATGAAACTGGGTTGAACTGATCTGAAGTGGGCCAGAGTATGTACTTCTACTTAAACAGACACACCTTGCAGTCTTGACGTAACCTAGTCTTATGGGACAGCCACACTTTCATATCCTGTACAGTTTGGGTTAGTTTCCTATAAAACAACACAATCTAATAGACTTGACTGAACCACACTGTTAATCATGCTAGAACTACTTTATGTACATGAAAACATCTACCTGATCTTAAAGTCACTGTAAGGCATAATCAACCCTGGGATCAGCTAAAAAAAAAAAAAATCTGTTAACATGCTTATGCATGCATGTAATTATTTGGAGGGTTTTTTTGCACTACTAGAGACCCGGTTCTGAATTTGATGCCATTAAATGAATAAAAATATCTAATGATATGATAAAAATGAATGAAGGGAATTTATTTTTTCACAACTCTGCATGAAACCAAACAGACTCTCTCTCATCATAGACTCCTCCAAGTCCCTGCAAACACACGCACAAACAGACAAAGATGGCATTGTTGCTCGTGGAGTGGGTTCCATGGGGACGTCGAGTTTGTGAGTGGACCCTTGTACTGAAATAATGAGGGAAAGCAGGACAATGGCTGTTCAGAGAGAGACCCCAGAGCAAAACATTATTTTGGCACTGTTACAGGGATGCTCAGAGAGAGAATCTGTGTTCATTTAATCTGAGCTGCAGAATCTATTCTGAATTTATTCTTGTTATTTTATACTCACTGTACTTTTTTTGTAAACAATATTCCATTTCCATTATTATTTTATATAGTTTTCAATGCTTTTGCAATACAAATTCAACTGCCAATATAAAGCAGAGAGACATTTGTTTTAAACTCATGTTTAATGTTACATTCATTTTTATCTTTCAACCATTGTGTTAATTTCTGATTTTATACCCTGCATTGTTTTATATTTTTAGTATGCTAATACTACCTGTTTGTTCAGTTTACACTATTTTATTTTATATTTTACTTTTTTTAACTAAATTTTATGGAACTAAAGCACAGTAAATTTAGATTTAACTTTAATTAATTAGACGGTTAAGAAAATATCTAATCAAGGAAATTATAAACAAAAGATCAAGAATAATAAATGAGGGATTTAATTCGAGAGATGCATCAACATTCATTCTGATCCAAGAACACAATGATCCCTAAACTCTCCGTCACAAACAAGCACCCAAACTTCACTCTTGTTATGGCCTAGAATAAGATTTACCAAATAGCAATTCAAGACATTCCTATTGAGAAACTCGTATAAATCTTAATTTAGATTTAAAAATAAATAAATAAATAATTGGTAGCAACAATGTGGGTTTTAGAACGGTGTTAATGACTAATGAACTGACCTCTTGAACATTTTCTCCATGTCTTTGATCTGTTTGCGCGAGAACTCTTTAAACTCGGTGTAGGGGTTGAAAACCTTCATCTGCTTGGGTTTCGTCGTGCCGTCATGGATGTCCAGCCTGCGGTTGAGTTTCTCCGTCAGTTCAGAGGTGGCGTCGCCGTTCACTGCAGTGCCGGGTCTCTCCGGCGGCGGCTCCTCCTCGTCCGCTCCTGTCTGCGCCGGTGAGCCGGGTTTGGTGTCACGCTGCTCGGCGTCCAGTTTGCGCTGCAGCCTCCGTGCGAGCTCCTCGGATGACATTGCGGACTGATGCTCTGCCTCGCACGATCAGCTTGTGTAGGATGTACAAAATCTGCAACGATCCTTATAAACATTTAGCCTACATTATAATAGGGTATAGTTATCTTTAATATAGAAAATATTTGTATGTGAATAATTGAAAAGAACATTTTGATCATATTTTAGACCTTTATTTTTTAAAGAGACATTCACTTTATATTTGTATAACTATGTACAAAAAACCCCATATGACATTTAACCAATAAACACTAAAAAAAATACTTTCTCATTTTATTTATAGAACAATGATTAAACAACAACAATAATAATAAATTCTAAAGTTGTGGAGAACACAGGATAAACAAGAAAAAAAGACCACCATTTATCTGAAATAGAAAGCTTTTGCAACATTATCACTACCGTTCAAAAGTTTGGGGTCAGAAAGATTTTTTTTTCTTGGAAAGAAATGAAAGAAATTAATACTTTTGTTGAGCAAGGATGCATTAAAGTGATCATAAGGGCCAGTATAGACATTTATAATGTTGCAAAAGCTTAATATTTCAGATAAATGCTGTTCTTTTGAACTTTCTATTAATCAAATAAACCTGAAACAATTTTTACACAACTGTTTTCAACATTGATAATAATAATAAATTTCTCTTGAGCAGCAAATCAGCATATTAGAATGATTTCTGAAGGATCATGTGACACT